CTCCCGGTGAGAGCTGGCCTTTGATTTGAAATCAGTTTGTTTTTCTTTCATGATGCCCTCTCCGCCCCCCCCCCCACTCAGATTTGGTGAGAACAGAGGAGGCGGTAATCAAGACACACACCCCAATAGTTTATGCTGTGGTGGGGAATGGTTAAATCTCACTCAGATCCATTCATGCAGACACACACATGCTTGTAACTCAAGTCAAAAGGAGGCTGTGGGAAGGGAGGAGGAGGGGACAAAACACTAAAGACACAGAGACAAGAGAGCATACAGGCTGACTGACTGTTCTCTAGTACGAAGTAGTAGAAGAGATCACTGACGATGTTGGGAGGGAGTGATAGGTGTGGGAAAGTTAACTAAGTCAGAGAGGTACTTATCTAGGACTAGATCCTGCAGGGACTTGTAAGCCAAAATGAGGAATTTGGACTTCATCCTAGGAGCAATGGAGGACCTCTGTTTGCTTGTAAGCTGGGGAGAGACATGGTCAGGTTTTCTCTGTGGAGGACAGAGGAGCTGGGAGAGAATTTGGACAGCCAAGGGGAGGGATGAAACCTCTACCATTCTTCAGTAGTGGCATGTCTAGAAAACACATTACCAACAAGGTCAAAATAATGAGGAAATGATCAGTTGAAACCCCTCTAGACGGGGCTCCATCTGGGATGTTTCCAGTAGCTGTCTGAACAAAGTGTTGTAGGATGAAGTTGTCATAGGCATGCCCCCCTCTCCTAACGTCTGCGAGGCAATAGGCTTTAATTAGGCTAAAGAAAGCAAGAGATGGTATTTATCGATAATCACACTAAATAAATACTAGCTCCAACCCCTAGGAACCGTCCACCAGCCCCTGGTGTTCATGAGGGGTTGAATTTGAGAGTCATTTTGGCTTTGGAAAAATTTGCCTTTCTCAACAGAATTAACTTAGACAAAGTAGGATGGTTGGTACTTCCTTGTCCAATCTTGATTAGCCACAGAGAGTATCCGGAAAGATCACCCCGTACAATGTTAATGGTTTTCTTAGGATTTTATAGTGCAGGGTTGATGGCTTTCCTCTGATGGGAAGAGGACAGCCTTTGTTTGAAGGGTATCCCCCACCCACCGCAGCCCTGTAATTTCACAGCACATTGGCAGTCTACACTGTGTGTCTGTATTCTGAGGTACTCTGCTCCTTGTGATATATAAATTTTACTAGTTTTCTGGGAAAAGTTGGCAAGAGCAACCTAAAATGCCATCCACAGCTCCCTCTATTCTTTCAAGAGCATTCTCAATTATCCAGAATAAATTCTGCTCAACCTTTGTTCCTTGGGAAATCACTAGAGAATCAGATTTTTTTCTCAGAACACAGATAAGCCAAGAATTTTGTTATATAATTTGGCACCTAAGAGATATCCAGGAGAATACATTTTGCATTGAAATATCTATTCCGTTAATATATGGGAAAAAACAAAAAACAAAAAACTGAACAAATTATGCTTTGAACTTTGAAAAACACAGTTTGTCTGAAGAGGTACGGTACAGATTATAGCTCTTGATCTCTTTGTGGATATAGCCCAGGTCGTTTTTTTATCTTCTACCCAGAGGAAGAGTTTCACCTGTCTCCAGCTTAGGACTTGGCCATGCAGTAACCCAATTGATACTGGTCAGACAGCCTGCGTGCAAAAGGCAGTTGAGGACCCACTAAGAGAGATATGTGTCAGGGATCGAAAGAAAAGTGAAGGCTGACACATCTTCAGATGGTCTGGTTCACGTGTTATCTATTCCTCCATTTTATTCAATATGCACCTTACGGCTTCCTTTGTGTGCGCTGTCCGGCGATGTGTGTGGGATACGAAATACAAGGACAATCCCTATCACTTTCAAATGTTACAAGAGTTGGTAAGATGATGGGTAAGACATAGAGACCTTATGAAGAATGGAGTCTCTTTGGCGGGGTGGGCCAAGTTAGGTGTGAAGGAAGACCAGCAGGTAGGACCACAAAGTAGTGCTGAGGTAGGGACTTGCCTCAGCGGCAAAGGGGTATTAACCAGAGAGACCAGAAACTTTTGCATAGTCCAGAGCACAGAGGTGTGGCAATGTTTAGTCTGAGGAGCTTGCATGGTTAGAGGACTGGAGAAGAGATAGGCTGTCACGTTAGAGGGGAAGCTTGGGCCAGACTGTGAAGAATCAAAAATTTCATGCCAAGGAGTGTTCATTTTTCCCCACCAGCAGTAGGATCATCATACCATGTTCCGAACTGAGAGAGTGTTATACGCCTCACGAGATGCATATTTTATAATAAAAAAAAATATGTAAAAGAACCGGGAGACAAGATGAGGCCACTCTGGTGCCAGACTTCAGCATCGTGCTTTGCAGCCGATGCTCTGCTGAGCTCAGCCTGCTAGGGGAATATGATGATAAAGGAAGTGTGTGTGGAGAAATGACCTCCGCTAGGCCTTCTTTTACTGGGTGGTGTGTCTTGAACATGTTGGAAACTAATGGCTTACAGAGCTTCCGACGTCAGGAGACACCAGAAGACATCGTTGTCATTGCTAAGGGTTTCTCGTGCTCACACAGGAGAACTCAAAAACAGCACAAAGCCCCTACCCTCCACTGGAGGCCATGCTTAGCACCTTATTTTTTCTACCTCTAAAGGTAGAAAGATCCACAGAGACCCCAAGAATTGCCCTCTATGTAGGTGTCCCCAGCCTCCCAAATCCGGATAAAGGACCAAGGTCAGAGGGTCAATGGCCTGGCCAAACTCATCCAACAGATGACATGAAAATAATGCTCCGACCCTCAGTGTCACAGGCCCTTCAGCAGAAGAGCAAACCCCACTGCAGGAACTTTATAGCAACCCAGAGTTTCCAGACTTCATACCAGTCACTGCATAATGTGTCAACGTTTTTTATTTCTCACTTCAACCAGCTCAGGAGTTCAACATCCAAACCACACTTTCTAGAACTTCCATACTATGAACTAACACCTTTTGCAATCACGGACAAACCCGGGACACAAATGGCTAACTGGGGTGCCCATGTAACACATCAAAGCAGGCCTGGCCTCCAGGCTCTCCCAGCATCTTTCAGTCCCTACCTGCTACAGGGTATGGCTGGCATACCCTGCCCCTTACCCTCAGCTCCTAAACCTTATCTTCAGTCCCTAGTCTATCTGTTCCAACAATCAACTAAAGACTGCAAAGGACTCCAAACAGCACTAGGTGCTTCTGAAAGAATTCCAACCAGCAGGAGCTTATTAAGCATCTTAGCGGGGGGGGGGGCTCCAAAACAGCTAGCCCCGGGTGGGTGGCTCAGCCTCACAGACTGCTCCAATGCAGCCTGAACTTCCCTGGCCCCAAGATGGTCCCTGGAGAGCCTGGGCAGTGAGTGAAACAGCCCGCCCTTCCCACCCTTGGCCAGTGGGGTGGTCTTCCAGATTTGAACGAGACAAGGGTTAAGGACAGCCACGCCTGAGTTCAGTGCCAACGACAGGACTCAGTGTCAGGGTGCTGTGGGGCATGTTAAGAAACAAAGAAACGAAACGATGAGATGTGGCCTGGGACATCTTAGGCCTGGCTGCTGTCGGTGCCTTGAGTGATCTCCTCTGCAGGAATCACGGGCACTCCGGTGGCAAAAGAAATAAATCCAAGTGTGTTTGCCACCGGCTGCTTTGGCCAGGACGTGCGAGGCGGGTGTAAAGGAGCAGGGCACAGAGAAGGGGCACTGGCCAAAGGACACGCGAACAGGCTGGGGCCAGGCAGCTGGCGGGCGACCCGCAGGGGCTCCTGCACACTTCAGCATAGCAGAGGTGAGAAAAGAGTTCTGAAATATAAACTAACCCCAAAGACATTCCCCTTAGAGTCGGCTCTGCCAGCGGCAACCTGGGCAAACCCGGAGGCTGCGGCCAGGCTCTGACGCTTAACAGCCCGCACAGCAGTGGATTCTGAAGGCAGTTGCCTTTGCGATAGTAGAAATTAAAGATTAGAGAACTGGTCGAATGCGACACATCTCGATCGTATCATTTTCTTTTCCAAACACACTGACAGGAATGGGGTCGTCTAGTGAAGAGGAAAGGGAGGGGCCCTCCTGCTGCCCACCTGCCCCCAGATGGGGGCCGTACCCTCCCCTTAACACTTGCTGGGTCTGAGCGATTGCAGACCCTCACCCTTTCCTCATCCCTTTCTCAGAAAAGGCCCAGAGCCAGAAGAGGAGTCCCAGTGAAGGGCAGATCTATGAGAGAAGAGGTCTAGGAGACAAGAGGGGAGCCATCCTGGGCCAGGATGATTCCTTTTTCCACCCTGGCTATGGCACCATCAATCCCTCAGAAGAATTCCAGATTCATACCAGCCAGCCCCCCTGTACACAATGTCCAGCTTCCCTATTCATTTACCAGCCAGTGTAAACAGTCTGCTTCCAGGGACACCCACATGGTGGTGATGGTGGTGGTGGTGGTGGTGGTGGTGGTGGTGGTGGTGGTGGTGATGGGGATTATAAAAGCAATGAATGCCACAGCCTGAAGACACCCCCTACACACATCCAAGCCCCATGCTGCATCATCCCCACCCTGCTTCCCCCTCCTCTAGACTGGACCACGACTCCATATGTGGAGCTATGTGGCACAGTTTGCACCATTATATACCCCAACCCTCTCCTTTCTGAACACATTCCTCCTCTGGGCTGAGAGAGGCAACCAGAACAGCTGCAGTAGCCATGTTCAGCCCAGCTTCCCTCTGAACCCCACAGTCCGCTGCTTGGCGGACAGGCATTGACGCTCCATCACATTCAACTGGCTAAATTTCTTTATTGGCAGGAATTTTCTCTAAGGACTCCTCCTCATCCTCCTACTTCTGTCTGTTTTCCTTCAGGATCACATGGTATAGCCGAAATGTCTGAACATACTTTGGTTTCAAAGGACACTCATGGGTGGGTCCTGCTTCTCCAGGTTTCAAAAGAGATCTGACTGGATAGGCTGTTAGTGGCAGTTTGGAACATTCCCAGTATTCTGTGGCAGTTAAGGGGCAGGTCTGCCTGAAGCAATTGAAGCTGTCCTCAGGGTCAGAGGTCACAGGTCTTAAAGTTTCTTGGTTCTTACTTAGAAAAAAAGGGGTGGGGACCTATTTTCAGTGGGCAAGCAAATCATGTATAGCTTTCATTTAGAAGCATGTGCTCATTTTAAATGTCATTTTTGTTTTCTCCTGTAAAGTCCTGATAAGTAATTTTCAGTATTCCTCAATGCCCACACTTTATTATACTTAAGATTCAGGGTTCTTGGACTTTACTGACCCAGGTGACTCTCAGACTCTAAGAACCCATATCAGCATGGGATGGATGGTGGCACTGGGCAGATAGGCTGTGAGCAGATGGGACAAGACCCATCAACAAGGCAAGAAGAATTCAAGTTTTGCTCATTGTATAACGTTTTCACTTTCACTTTTTTTTAAAAGATACAATACTGGAGAATACACAAAGTTGTCTGTACAATTTAAGGAGTGATTATTGAGCAGATAGCCATGACAGCCTGCAAATGTTCTACCAAGGAAGAATCTTGCTTTGGGGAGTGGAAGCTTGTAGGGCAGAGTGGGAAGGGTCCCTAAAATCAAGTGTGCGGTGGCATGAGCTTGGGGCAAGTAGGAGGGAGGTGGATCGTACGTGTGACTATTCTGGGTTCAGGTCATCTGAGACTGAGACAAAGATACACCAACCAAGCAGGAGATGAGGCCATGCTCTGGGAACAAACAGCCCTCTGCCCCGGCCCTCATTCCTCAGCCCTGTACATGGATACTGCGTGTCATCCCGGGGACCTACAGTCTCTCCATCTGTCTCGTGACGCAGTGGGACACCCCTGTGAGTGCTGCATTGACACTGAAGCCATTAACTTCAGTGCTTTGAAGCCTGGAGAGTATCACATTCAACGTCCAGGCTCACTTCTGTTTTCACATTGGGTCACGAAGTGTCCTCTCTTTTCCTATTATCGGAAGGAGGCTTTTGGAATCCGATCATAGATCTTAATTATCTTGGGGATTTAGGACAGGTTTGAGAACGTCTGATCATCTCCCAAACATCTGGTGAGGCTTAGCTGACGATGAGAACAGCTGTTGCTATAGAAAGCTGGCTGTGAGCCTTTCCACCTATTACAGACACATTGCTTACCTAAGGAAGGGTACATTTGCTCCTTAATACTAGACTTTCTCCTTTTTCTCTCCTTCTTCCTACAAACAGGGGTCAGGAGACACTTCTTAAGAGCTGTTTATTTTCCCTCCCCGGAGTTTTCATGACCCCTGCTGTAGTCCAAGGGGAACCCAGATCACCACCTGCCCAGCTGTTGGGCTGCATTTAACACTTGCCTTTATTTTTATTAGAAATGCTGTCCTTAGGTCCCAGAGAGATATCGGAGTGGTTAAGAGCACTGACTGGTCACGTGGAGGGCCCTGGGACTGTCTCCCAGCACACAGTGGCTCACAAACATCTGTCACTCCAGTTCCAGGGGAGGTCCAGCACCCTTTTCTGATCTCCGTGGCAGGCGCTTCATGCACACGGCACACAGACATACACGCAGCCCGAATACTTACACATTTAAAATAAACCTGAAGCCCGTTCTATAGTTAAACAGGTGTGTGTATAAGGGAAGTACAAGATGTGCAGTCTGGGAGTGCCTAACTGGGCCCAAGGGTGAGATGAGCCATCTCCATGTCATTTCAGCCTAAAGCGGCTGCCTGCTTGATTCAGTTCGGTAGCAAAGACGCTGGCTTTGGGGTCAGGCAAACCAGGGTTACGGGGTGCTTAACCTTCTACGTAGCCCTCTGTTTTCCACTGTGCAACCAAACCCACCCACAGAGACCAAAGGAATCTACTCTTTTTAAAAAAAATTGTGAAAATGGGACCTGATTTTATTATTTGCCTTAGACCCTGCATTTCTGCTACTTGGTCTCCGTTCCCCTGTGCATCCGTAGCTCGAAGTGTCTATCTAATATTTTGTATGCATTTAACCAATTGTTGATTGTTCAGATGCTTTCAGGTTTTTAATAGATTTGTAATTTATTTAAGAACACTCAATACTTAGTTCTGATTGTCAGTTAAAGACAGATCGGAACATAGGTGATCTACGATAGACAGGACTGTGGTAGAAGTCAGAGTTCTCATCCGATTGGTTCGGTTGTTGTTTGTTTTTTCTGAAATAGGAAACATGAGTTTGGAGGGATGGCTGAGGTTGAAGCGCCGGGGTGAAATACAGTCGATTGTCACTGTTTGTGAATAGCAAATGTGCAACTTCATCTACTTGCTGGACTTAATTTATAACTAAGCCCTAATCAAAGCCTGCAAATCAAAGCCTTCTTGTCATGCAAAGGCTGATGCAGACTCAGATCTGCAAAATTTGGGGTCTTTCCTGTGTCCGTGTTCCCAGTTGAGGCTAAATGGGGCCACACCCTGCCCTTTCTTTCACTGAAAGTTTTGTGCGATACGCAAGTGTTATTTTTGTGGCCTCTTTAATACCAGACTTACAAACAATACATTTTTGAGGATTATGGTGGTGATTTTGCTGTTGAAAACGCTTCCCTGGGGCTGAAGTGCTAGCTAGGGCTCCTGAGTGTAGGAAACATTAGTAACATGTCTCACAGAGAAAACACGTGTGTAAAAAGCTTCACCCAGGAATGAGTGAATGAGCACTGCTCTTGCTGTGAGTTCAATCCTAACCAATAATATATAGCAATAATATGCCATCAAATAAGGTGTCTTAAACAGAGACACACACAAATTAAGGACCAAGTTACTGGTCGGTGAAAATAGGATGGCTGGAATTTCAGAGGCTGCTGCTACCTCTGTGTTTCCCGTAGGAGCAGAGCAACGGCCCAGGCTCTGTGAACACAGTGCTTGTGTAAGCTAGCTAGAAATAGCGATTTTAAATAACAATCATCAACTACAGAGGACAGTAACACAGTGACAGGAGGAGCTGGGCAGCCTTCAGGGCCCACTTGACTTTAAAGATCGTTAAAGATCGATCCATCAGTGACCGTGGTTTCAGGGAGCCTGGTGGAGTCTGACGGGAATGGGGGAGTTGAGAGCGTTTGTAAGAGGTGCTTACCACGGCTGACCTTTACTGTTTATAACTGAGTGTTTATGTATGTGGAAAAGAGTCATAGTGCCAATGCAGCCAAACATAGCTTTTTTGTTTTCTTAAAAATTTAAATGGGTTTTCAAAAGTATTTATTTTTCTGGCCTCCTTCAATAAGACTAAAGACTGTTACCTAAGACACACGAACTGTGACCAGTGTCTTTGAACAGCAGAAGTTAGAATTGGACAGTGTCTACACGTGGCCACCTAGATTTCAGTATGGGCTTTGTGCTCTGTGAGAACTTTCTGGTATGTCTGGGGTTGTACAGGATTTGCCCCTTTCTTATGTATGCAGTCCAGGGTATGGTAGGACCTGGTGTCAGTCTGGCCAGACTGAAGCCCATAGTTTCCCAAATACTCTGTAATAAGATAAATTCTTCAGACTCCAGGCTTCCTGTCTGGAAGTAGCTTCTAAGTTGGGTCAGATAAACTGAATGAACTTGTGGGGTGTTTTGAAGGCAGAGCCTAACGTGTATTGTACGTTCACAGGCAGGGCGTTAGCTGTTGTGATTAATACTAAGATACTGGGACTCTCTTCAATGGTTACAAATGATGGAAGTCACAGCTGCCTGTTTTCACTTCAGATGATAGCGATTACGTTCTGACCAGAGAAAAGTCAATTTTATCCCACAGTTTGGAAAGATGTCGCCAGGTTCTCCATATGCTCACTTGGTATTTTAATATCTTTAAAAAATTTTTAATTTCTTTTTATGTCATGTGGGTGATTTGCCTGAATGTATGCATGTGCACTACGTGGATGCCTGGTGCCCTAGGAAGCCAGAAGAAGGCACCAGATCCCCTGGAAGTGGAATACAGACAATTGTGAACCACCTCTGGATGCTGGGAATCAAACCTGGGTCCTCTGCAAGAGCAGCTGGTGCTCTTAACCACTGAGCCATCTCTCCAGCCCCGGTATGTTAATATTTTAAAAGAAGAAGCTGGTAAAAGGAATAGCTGTTGGCCCGCAATGCAAGGCTTAGCCCCAGGAGAAATGCAAAGAGATACTGAAAACGAAAAGAGAGCTTCCACAGTAAGAGACACCAGCCCTCGAAACAACTATTATCAGTTGTAGCTTTGCCCAGGGGGATGGTGGGTAATAAGCCACACATTAGGTATGGCAAAAGCAGGGCCACGAGGAAATCTGGGCATTGCAACAAGATACCCCGGTACCCAGGATGGGAGGGAGAGGGCTTCAGGGGAGGAATAATTTGCTTCCCCTCATTTGGGATTTAGATTGTAGGTAGGGGGTGAAAATGAAGAGATCCAGCTTGATGTCCATAAGCAGGCACTGTCTGGGACGCTAGGGAGCAGGCTCCATTTAAAAGCCGCCTCTTCAGCTGGAGAGATGAGCCAATGGTTAACTTTGCTGCTCTTGCAGAGGACTTGAGTTCCGTTCCCAGCACCCGCATGTGGGCTCACAACCATCTGGAACTCCAGGGGACCTCAAGCCTTCTTCTGGCCTCCTTAGGCCAAACTTGGTGCCCCGGCATACATGCAGGCAAAACACTCAAACACATAAAATCAAAACAAAATATAAATAAATAAATAAATAAATAAATAAATAAATAAATAAATAAAAAGAGCTGCCTCTATTCTTCAGAGTAGCTTGACAAAATTGGGTAGAGTGTACATTTCTCATTGTGTTACCCAAAATTAGCACTTTGAATACACCCATGGGATAAGTTATTAAAGTGAAAATGAAGAGATTTTAAATTTTCCTTTCAGCTTACCAGAAAGTAAGGAGGTCACAGGATCTGATAAAGGAAGGCAGGTCAGTTTCTAAAAGTGAACCAAGTTCCAGGAGCTGAAGATCTCAGATTGGGATAAGAACTGGGCAGGGGGTGGGGGTGTGTCTTACTGTTGTGTCGCTGTGAAGAGACACCATGACCACAGAAACTCTTAGAAAAGAAAACATTAACTGGGGACTTGCTTCCCGTGTCAGAGGGTGAGTCCATTACCATCCCCGTAGGAAGTGTGGTGGGACAAGGTCAGGCGTGGTTCCAGAGCAGTAGCTGACAGCAATAAGTCCTGATCCACAGGCAGCAGGCAGAGAGAGACACTAGGTAGGCCTGGCATGGGCTTTTGAAATGTCTAAGCCCACCTCCAGTGACACACCTCCTCCACAAAGGCCACACATCCTAATCCTTTCCAAGCAGTTCATCAGCTCACATCATTCAAATCACCACAGGGGAGGAGAAGGCTCAAGTGTCAGATGGATTAGCATCCCAAAGGTGGTAAAACCGAAGACAGGAACTGCCAAAGAAACACAGGCAGGCTCTAGCCACCCAAACAGGACGATGTGAATTCTAGCACTGGCTGAGCTGAGCAGAGGGAGAGGAGCCTGAGAGGGAACAGGCCGTGTGGCCACACCACGGACGAGGGCCATGCCAGGCTGTTGACAGTAGCTCTCTTAAATACAGGAACGAAGGAAGGAGAAGTGGATTTCTCAGGGGGGAGGAGGGCGGCTGGTGAGAGCCTGGACTCTACCAAATGCAGATTCGTCTAAACCAAAGAGAAAGGCTATCCTTGACTTGTCTTAAGTTTCTATTAGGTAATATGTGAAGTCAACAAAACGACGCATATACATCACAAAGAGCAGGTCACAGATGAGCAACAGGTAACCTCCGGGACTGTGGTATCTCAGCAGCTCTCCTCGCCATGTGGATTCTGTCACTGTGGTCAAATGGGCTGCTGCAACCATTCTGGCCCCAGCCACTGAGACAGAGGCCCGAAC